TGTTATTCTGTATTCTGTCTACATTCTCCTGCTTGAGCAGGGGGTTGGACTAGAAGACCTCCAAAGTCTCTTCCAGCCCTGTTATTCCCTTCCATTTTGGGGGCTTTGCTGATTGAGACCATAGGACAATGGTGGTGAACCTCTGACAATGTTTGAGGTGACCATGCCAGTGTCCACCAAAGAAGCGTGCTCTCACATGGCCTCTGGAGCCTCCAGAAGTACCATGCCCTTGTATGGCCTCTAAAAATCACATGAGAATGGGGTGTGCTTTCACACAGTTTTCAGAGACTGCAGAGGCTGTGGAAGAGCATTCTCCAAAGCCATTCAAGAACAAAGACCGTTTGCGACCTGGAGCAGCCTTGGGTAGGCCTCAGGAGCCTGGCAACAGAAAGAGAGCTGGGCTGTGAGGGCAGTCATGTCATTCTCCAGGGTTCACGCACCTTGGGGAATAACATGAGGCAACCATTTTGAATGGCAGTAGTGGTGCTGGAGCTGAAGTCAAGGCCCTGGTCTCTATCTCAGGCCTAGGTGCCGCTGTTCAGGGGGAGGGTCTAGACGTGCCGGAGATAAAAAATTGTTTCTCTTTCAGTGGAGTGTGTATATGTGTGACATGCCAGAAGAATCAAGTTAGGCATTTTCCAAATTGTTGACACAAAGTCCAAAAGGTTTGCCATTGCTGGTCCAGAAGAACTGGAGAATTAATACCAGTATTTTGTACAATCACAGACAAATCTGTTGAGGAAGAAAGTTAAAGATATCCCTTATTTACAAGTTAGAATTTGGGGTGTTAAGAGGATTGTGATCAAAAGGCCACTTTATAAAGAAAGATAAAGGAGAAGAATAGGGTTAATTTATGGCATTTATGTTACATGAGGTAGTGTGCACTTTGAAAAATGAAGAGAAAAAGTCAATCAAGAAATAGGTGAAGTTTGCAAGAGAATGGAAAAAGCACACTATTATGAAAATAATAAAAATGTATTTTTTATCAGGCTGGGGCAGGTAATTAAAAAGCTTCAAGTTTTTTTGAGTCCTCATTATTACATGGATATGTCCAAATCATATTTTGTGCAATAGTAAGTAATTGGGTTGCCATTGCCTTCTTCAGTATTTAGTTAATTTGCTTTGTAGTTGACTGCTGTTTAGAAAAAAATGTGTTGCTCTCCACCAAAATTGTGGTTCCTGCTTCATGATGCAGTGATCAAAGAATGCATCTTTAGAGCAAGTCTGCCCATAGTCCAAGTGGGTTTTTTGCTCAATCCATGCACAGGACAAGAGATTTTATTTCCTAGTTGGGAGAAGAATATACAAAGTCTGTACAAAGAAATGATTAGAAAACCATCTCTAAAATGAAGGAGAAAGAAGAACCAAAGGATGCTAAATTTGAAACTTCCTCTCCCTCCAGTGATTCTGCCATATTGTCCATTGAAAGGAGCATGCTGGGCTCAGGAGGCCATTGTACTTTCCATCCCTGTCATACTTTTGATCCATGAGATCAGTGGGAGAAAATGCCATTTGTGCTGCTCTGCTCATCAGTGTTGTCATTCATATTGCTTGAGCTAATATACGTCACTTCCACAGCTGCAGAGTTATCTACCAAGGAGGAAATGAAACTGCAGATTTTACTCTGCTAGTCATTGCCTATTAGAGTTCATCTCCATTTTGAGACCATGAGCCAGCACTACCCAAAGATGTTTTCACGGTCATGTGGCCAGCATGATGTTGCAGGGTGCTGTTTCCTCTCTACGAAAGTGATACCTATTTATCTACTTGCATTTGCATGCTTTCGAACTGCTATGTGATCAGGAGCTAGGCGAAGACAAGTGCTCACCCCACCACATGACATTCAGATCTCGAACCCTGGCTGTTGCTTTTCCAGCTGACAAGCCCAGCATTTTAATTGCTGAGACATCCTGTCGCCTATCTACCAATGAGAGATTGCATGTATTCAATTGGCACTCTGTGAAATTTTCAAGATGTACATTTTCATGAATCTGTTCAGTAACTTTCACATTTGTCATTTATATTTTTACAAACTTAGGAATGGTCTACTGACTTGTAGAAACCAAGAGTAAACCTCTTTTCCTTGTTACTAGAGAATGTTCCTTAATATTTCCATCTTGCTTGAAAGATTTGGGTTTAAGCTGCTCACAATCCATTTTTCTACCCCATTAGTCCATGCACTAGGCCTATGGAATAATGGAGTTGCCTGTAATATGTTGATCCTCGGTCATCTCTTGAGGTGCTATACAAACCTAAGCCATTTTCATTTACTTGCCTGGAAAGAACATTATGAAAACCTGCAGAAAGTCTTAAAATGGCAGCTGCTATTCAGACTGGCCTTTTGTTCAGTATTTTTTGGGCTCCTGAAAGGAGTGTCCCACTGCTCTAATTACAATAAATGGGTATATTTCATGTATTCTGTATTTCGTGTGTTCTGTGGAATACTAGGAGGAGGAGGGAGCATAAAAGAAGCCAAATATTTTATAAATGTAAAGTGAAAATGTCTCTACAGCTACAAAGGAGAGAAATTAGTAGGATTGAAAAACTACTATCCGCAAAGAAACCCATGTTTTTTTTCTCAACATTCAAAAATATATTTTGAAACATTTTAAGGAAATCACTGCATTGGGCAAGAAGATTCAGATAACACAACTCTGGTGTCTGCATGTTCAAAATGGAAATTGTGGAGCTGATGTATCCCAGAAACTTCCCTTCTTGCCTGCCAGGTGCCATGCCCTACCTGATTTTATTTGGGGCTATTTTTATTACTTTAATTAGAAAAATAAAATAAAAATCTACCGTGTTTTGAAATCAAGCTCCAACCATGAGGATAATTTTTATGTCTAAGAATGTTTCAGTTCCCCTGTATCTAGCCCTAGCTAGGGCAGTCTTCAAAAATAAAATAAAAATATGGGGCTACCACCAATGCTTTCTTTGGAATTATGCCCTTCTGCCCAGATGAAAAGGAAATAAACTGAGATGATAGACAAGATGGGGAGGAATGTGTCTTGTTTGTTTGCCTTTCATAAATGAGTAGGCATTTGTATTTAATCACACCAAATGGTAGCTCTTTGGTCAGTGTGCCTGTAATGTGAGTATGCCTATAATTTACTTGCTCAAAAAGGTTGGGGTTCCCTATTGTAGAATTTAGCCTGGATATGGCAATTTTTCTACCTTGATGAAATCCTGCAGTTCAGGATGGAAATCCTGCAAGTCATGGAAAATTCAGCTTATTTTATACTGATTCTGGAAATTGTAATCCTCAAATATCCAGTATTCTGGTTCAAATTTGCATTCAGTGAGATTTGCTCCTGAATAAATGGACTTAAGATAATTCACTACTTTAAGTAATGGTAATTATTTGGCTTACTGATTAATTAGCTTATTTTTGTCTGTAACTGTGTAGTTTTCATTCTTAGTTTTGGCAAGTAATTTATGTGTTTCTTCTGGCATATCCAGACTGATTAATTTGCTTAGCATAGCTCACTTTATAGTTAGACAAAGGAGGTGGTGATAGTTGCCTTTGATAATATCATTATATAGGGTTTGTAATTTTTAGAGCCAGTTTGGTATAATGGCGAATACACCAGGCTAGACACTGAGGGACTGAGTTCCAGTCCTGCCTGAGGCATGAATGTCAGCTGGGTGACCTTGGGACAGTCACTCTCTTAGCCTTAGGAAACAGGCAAGGGCAAAGCAAATCTGAAATCTTGCCAAGGAAACTGGAGGGACTGTGACTCAGGCATAAAAACGGTATTTGTACCTTCAACATGGAACAATGGCGAGATCTTTAGAACCAAGATTTTTTTCAAAGACTCTTGATACATTTCCTTAAGTATAACCCTTCAGACAGTAAAATATTTTGGGGCGCTCGCTCCTGCTCCTCATTACTGTAACAGGTACACCAGTATTAGTTCCATCCTCGCTATCCTTTTGCCTGACTCCCCTCTTCACTTTCCCCCCTACAATATTGTACAATTTCTATCATCTTCATAATAGCAAAAAGGCTTAGATTCGGAGATGTCTTTGGCTTGCTCCTTTATCTTCCTGCTAAGGATGTGTCATCGTCCAAGCAGAAATGTATGTGTTTGTTGTGAAATCTAACTTATTATTGGTGTTCTTTTCTGTAATATTATACTGTGTGCATATGCATGCTGTGCAGGCATTTTGAAAATGATGGCTAAATGAAGTAGAACTGGTAATTACCAAAAAAAACCAACCCACTCAGAATGCCAATAGAAAGAGTATCTTTTTACTGTAGGGTAAAATTTAGATGAAACCTTTTTTATCATTTCCATGGGGGAGAAATGTAATATTTTTACTTTTATTGGTCTGGAGAAAAGAAAGAAAGAAAAGAAGGAATATAGATGGCATTAAAAGATAAGAGTCTCCTTTGAATTAAAGCTTGGCTCGTGCCTTCTTCATAGAGTTTCTCCAAGTATAGTTTTTGAGCTTCTCCAATCCTGAAATTTTCTCCCATCCAAATGCTAACTGAATCTGACCTTGCTTAGCATTTGCTCAGCCAACATTACATAATTGTGTTTTTTTCCCCCTTAGAAAACGGGAGATACTTTTACTCACAATAGATGGCCTGTGATATTACTCTCCTTTTAAATAAACTAGCTTGCTTAATAATAAAATAAACCAGCTTGCTGGTTGTAGATTAGGGGAATGTGATGTATCTTGGTTCCTCCCAGGTTTTCATTTGAATTTAATATGATGCGGCTGATGATAAGCCACGATCCTCAGTCTATCAGACATGTTAATTGATTAAAAATAAAAGGTAGTCTTGTTTTGAGCCACACTAGATCTCAATGTCATATCAATGTCATATTGAGCGATCATCTTCTCTGATTGTACAAATGGTATATTTACAAGGGTAGAACAAAGCCAAAATTTCTTTTAAAAAGTATTAATGTTGTCATTAATATGATTACATGGTTATAAATGGTAATTTATTCCATTGATGCAGATACTGTACCATATATATTTGTCCACAGGCCATGTGACTGGCTGTCAGCGTGTTTTCTACTCATCAGTTAATCATATCTACTTACACCCATCAAGCATTCATCAAAGAAGATATATTTTTTGCCACAGACAGAAAAATGCTTATAAGGTAGTTTGGCCAGCTGATGTTTCTCCTCCTTATCCAGTTCCTAAGGTACTATCATTTCTATTGCTCTGTTGCTTCTTTCAGTAGTCAATATAGAGATTTATTAGATGAATAATGAAGTACATCCCAAACTAGCAGTTTGAATCATGATTTTGTTACCAGGGCTGGGATTTGAACATGCACAAAGTAATCGAGTTCCTGCTATAGTAAAGAAAGCATTTAGTCAATTTCTCAGCCAGTTTCAATTTGATACTCCTGCTGCTGCTACGTCCCAATGTTTTGGTTAGCCTCTTGTTTAAAAAAATAATGAAATTTGTTATAAATAATGTAAATAAGAATTGGCCATACATCAACAACTTTTTAATATCCATTTTTAAATTAGGAAATCTAAAAACAGTTTTTGCCATCATAAGGTTTTTTTTTAAGTATCATGCTGCCAGCTAACAATGTTCCTATTAAAAAGTTCTTCAATTGTCATGATATATATCTTAACAAACTATTATTATACTGCTTATAACTGCAGGAAGACAAAGGAGCAAAGGCCGCATAATATGTTTCAAATAACTGATGTATTTCATTGTTTAATTCTTGATTTAGATAGATTCTTAGAAAATGCATGGTCGTGTTGTTTTTGTTTCATGTTCGTTAACAATTTTTGAATTGTGATGGCTTTTATCATCGAAATTACTTTGTAATTTGTAAACTATTACTTTCAAAATATTGGAAATATGTTTGTGTTTATTTGTGCGTTTGTGTGTCTGTGTGTGTATCCTGTTGTAAACTTCTTTGAGTGGAATTTGATCCCTGAGGACAACATGGATGGGTTCTTATTTTTCTTTGCAATAAGCTGATGAAAGTGATCTGTCACTGTCATCTTCTCATTTATTTTAACAATTTGTGAGTCTAGTCTAAAGCCTGGGATGTTGGGTTTTTTTCAGCTTTGGGGGAGTTGTGAGATTGGGAATAACTTGCCCCTCAGAGGATTCTGGTCCTGCTGAACTACCGTGTTTCTCCAACAATACGGCCTCCACCAATAGGAAGCCCCACCATGTTTTATTGGCATAAAATCAAATTAAGCCCCTCCCCCCAAATTAAGCCCCATATTAAACATGCGAAATGGGGGGGAGAGCGGGGGGGGCTTGCCGTTAGTAAGTACTTTTGTTGCATGCCCGGATATGGTGCTGCCTGCGTTGGTGGGGCACTTCATATCGGGAGACCTTCCACCGTTGCTTATCCCTTCTCCCTTGCTGCCCCTTCTCCCTTGCTGCCGCGGCGTTTGGCGCAGCCACGTGCGGCCAGTCAGGGCTCCTCCCTGCAACCGGAGCCCTGAGGAGACACTTGGCTTCAGGCGCTCCCGTCTTCCCTTTGCTTTCGAAGGTAAAGTGAATTATTTTACAAAGCCTCCCCTGCCCGAGAGGGCAGCCCAACCCCACGTGGGGAGGCTAATTTCCAGGGGCCTCTTCCGTTCCTCCCCGACCTCCCTACGCTGCGCGCCTCTGACGCGCCGCTCCCTTCAGCCCAGCGAGCTCTTCCACCTCAAAGAAAGGCCAGGCGGGCGGCTGCGGAGCAGCAGCAGCGGGTCTGAGCCGCTCGCAGCGGAAACAGCCACCACCTGTAGCCCGACGCGGGAAGAACGAGCGAGGTTAGCGCCCGCCAGCCCGGGCGAGATTTGGGAACGAGGGGCAGGAGGAGGCACGCACACACCCGCGGCTCACTTTCCCAGCTTTGCCCAGCCCTTACGGCTCTGGCGCGGCCCTGGCAGGATGAGCGGAGGGTATGGGTATTACACCTAGCCAAGATTGGATAGGGTAGAGGTGATCCACTCAGCCACCCACGGAAGCTTGTAATGGTTTGGGGTCATTGTTCACTATCTTAAGCTTTTGAAGAAAAGGAAGGATAGAAATCTATCTCACAAATAAATGAATAAAATACTGGCCAGTGTTGAGGTCTAATGTCTTTCATGTAAGAAACCTAATAGATTAGGCATAGCTCAAGCATGCATACACACACACACACATACACATACACACAAAGAGAGAGAGTGTGTGTCATGCCCCTGTCGGAATCTGAGTCCAAGTGGGAGGCCGAGCAGCTGACAGGGAGTGGGAGTGTGGCTCCATTGGCTGTGGAAGAAACTGGGGAAGGGAAAAATCTAGCTGGGCAGAGCAGGGCAGAGGTAGAGCAAGGCAGAAGGAATTCAGAGGAAGATTCAGGCCCACCCCCTCTTCATCCTAGGGCACACAGGGAGGAACGGAGAAGAGAACAATGTGAGTTGCTTATGGGGGAGGAAAGGGCCCTGATTCCCTTCATTAGCTGCAGCTGGGAACACAGTGTTTAAAAAGGGAAGCTACGCACAGCAACTTATGGGAAGCAAATCGTGAGTTATCTTTGATTATCAAGGCTTATCTGCGTTCCTGGCATCTTCCGAACTGTGTGTGTTTTGTTGGCCTTTGAAGTTTGCAATTCCTTATCCTGCCCTGTCCAGTTAATTGCTGCAGCATGGTTTGTGTGGATTTTTATTTACAGTATATATGTACTTTGTATTCGGACTGAATTTCCTCCACTTAAAGACTGTTCTTGGGAGAGTTTTTTCTCCAGCCAAAGGTAACCTGCACATTGGGGGCAAAGTTGGAGGTTTTAAAGGGACTTTTCTTACTTATGTGACTGCCTTTGTGCCACACCCCGAGTCATCACAGAGAGAGACATGAAAACACATATCCATATACACAGACCTAGACACACACTCTATGTTATACATGTGCAAGAATATAGAATAATTTTGAATAACTGCTACATTGGTAATTCTTTTCAACAGAGTCAGAGTTCTTATCCATTTTTATGGGATTCAGGATTTAGGCTTTTCCCTTTTCATTGATATGTCAGTTCAGGACTCTGCAAAGTTACCTGGCTTGTTTTGAAAAAGTGGATTTTTCTTTTTTTTCTTTTTAAAAAGGCAAACTGGAACCGTTGGAGTGCCATTAGGAACTTTTGGTCTGAGCCGAAAGCTGCTGCGATACTCTGAATTTCAGTGTTGTAGGCTCTGCAAGTAACAAACACTGTGAAGTTCAAAAGGGCAGTGAGACAAATACTGGGGCATGCTTCAGGGTTTTCCCTGATGGCTTAGGAAGGTCACTCAGACAACCAATAAGACAGGCTGAAGTGGGGGGGGGGGGCTCTATCTGAGAAAATGATCCCATTGTCATGCTCCGTGTTCTGATCTTCATTTTTGCTCCTTCCTTTCCAAGCATATAAAGCAGCCAGACTATGTGACGACAGGCGCTCCGCCTGACATGGGAGACGAAATAGACCTTAAGAATGAAGATCAGATTCAGCGGCTTCGTCAGGCTTGTCAGCTGGCCCGTCGTGTCCTGCGTCTGGCTGGGAGGAGTGTAAAGGTAACATGGGCTTGACAGCTCCTGGCTTTGGCTTTTTGAAATTTCATAACATTTTCCTTTTATATATATATATATATGCATTTCACAGTTATTTATCGTACATCATAAACTCCGCAGAACTGATTACAATAGAATTCCTGCTTTTCACATGCTTCATTCAACAAACCAGCTTGCTTATTCGTAAGCTGCCCTCCTTGATCCCTCTCCAACCGCACCCCCACCCTGCCTGTATCCATATCAAACAACCAAAATCTAATTCCAATATATGCCTGGACAATTAAGCAGTTTCTTTTCAAGTATTTATTTTATTTGGCTTGTATGTTTGGAATTTTTAAATTCCTCTCCTTCACACTGTGGAAGGCCAGAAGAAGACAACGATTTGTGCCTGTGAGAAATACAGAAATTCTGCTGCCTTGACTATAGGAAAAAAAAAAGGAGAATAAGAGTTTGTCTTTATAAACTGAACAATTAAAAGCACATTATTAAACTCTAGATTTGCTCTACTCAAAGTTGAGTAGAGTTTATTGTGTATCTGAAGCTTTCTAAAATCCTTGCGGTTTAATAGTCAGGGTTTGGTGTCCAATTCTTTTGAATAAATGTATCAGCAATTTGTGTTACTTATCTCTGTGTGAAAGCAGATGAGCATCTCCATTGTTTGATCACAGGCAGATTCTTGGTTCAAACTTGATTTTCAGCTGTATAGGTATTACATTGGATTGATTTGCACAGTACAAATAGTCCTCTATGTACGACCACAACTGCGCCCAAATTTTCTATTGCTAAGTTGTTGTTAAGTGAGTTTTGCTCCATTTATTAAGTGAATCACTGCAGTTGTTAAGTTAGTAACACAGTTGTTAAATGAATTCTGGCTTCCTCATTGACTTTGCTCGTCAGAAGATCACAAAAGGTGATCACATGATCCTGAGATACTACAACCTTCATAAATACATACCAGGTGCCAAGCAGTCAAATTTTGATCATGTGACCATGTGGAATGCAATGTTGTAATGGTCGTAAGTTTGAAAAATAGTCATAAGTCACTGTTTTAAGTGCCACTGTAATTTTGAATGGTTGAGAATTACCTATACTGTTTTGGTAGATATTTTTCTGTCTTCCTCTTTCTCTAGGCTAATTCTGGATTTGTAACTTGTTTGTAAAAGCATACCATGGCACAATGACTGTACTGTTTATTACATTAAATCTATAAAAAATGCAATCCCAGTGGAGGGGGAAAAAACCACATTTTAAAACAACACACATTTTTTAAAAGTATGGTTACTTAGTACGTTTACATTCCACATTTTTCCCCAGATTTTCCAAAGCATACGAGGTCTTCTCTCATTTTATCTCCACAACAATCCTGTGTGGTAGGTTTGACTGAAGGAGAGGGACTAACTCAAATCCATCCAACGAGCCCCATATGCTAGTGAAGAGCTGAACCTGTCCAATGCTTAACTACTTTTTCACATATGTTGATGGTAATATTTGGGTAATAATTTAAAATCAGGTATTTTAGCTCTTTTAAAGAAGATTTGAGGGCAGAGAAAGAAGCCCTACATGCTTCCCTTAAGCACTATTGGCCAGAATAATTTCTCATTATTCCTAAATTGAAGACACTTTTTCAAAATTATAAACTGACAAATGCACAACCAGGGGATATATAAATATGTGTACTCAGGGACCAAAAGGCCACCTAGCCCCCAAATTTTGCAGCTCATCTTTGCATGAAATGGACAGAAAAAAACTTCTGTTGTGGGAAGAGGTTCTGCTTGTCTTAATCAAAAATTTGCAAAGTTCCATTCAAGTGGCAAACATGATTGTGTTTGAGCTGTGCTCTCCTCAGCGTCTACGTTTCCTTCATCGGATGAGGAGATCAGATCTTTCTTCTTCTGTCCTGGCCGCTTTTTACAGAGGCATGATTGAGAACATTTTAACAAACTACATCACTGTTTGGTTGGTGGCTAAAGTGCCTCAGAAAAAAATCCATACAGAGAGTGGTAAAGGACAGCCAAGAAAATTATAAGAAGCTCGCTTCCTGTTATTTAGGATACTGCTTATAAGTGCTATGTGCTTAGAGCTCGAAGTATTGTTAGAGACCCCACACACCCACTTTACGATCTGTTTCTGTTGCTCCCCTCTGGAAGAAGGTTTCGAAGTATTTTTAACAGGACTACCAGATTCTGTAACAGCTTTGTTCTTTATGCCATCCATCTGGTAATCTCGCAAGATTCTTTTTTCTCACCATGTATATGTATATATTCGAACTAGACTATGTTGTATGTGTGTATATGCATAATTTTGTATTAATTTATTCTGCCATGGTTATGTAGTGCATTTTGAAGGTGGTGACCCTTTGAGAGCTGTATGCAACAAAATTTCATTTTAATGTATGCTGATTAGTGTACATTCAAAGTGACAATAAAGTTATTCTATTCTATTCTTTGCTGACCTATCCTTTAGGCATAAAGTATTATCAACAAATTAACTGAGACCATCTAGCCAGAGAAGGGGGCAGAGATGGAAAACAGAAATGGAGGGCAGTGTAGAAAGAAGATGAATTAGAATGAGCAGCATGAGCCTGTCGAGATGTAAATGTAACCTAAAGAAGTTTCTAGTGAAGATGAAAGGAAAATAAGAGCTAGAATAGAGAACAAAAAGCGAGAATCAGATGGCTGAAATCACAAGCACTTGAATATGTCAAGCAGCTAGATTAAGGACCAAAACGAAAAGTACAAGATATGAATGATGAAGCCCTAGAAGAATATTGCAGTAATGGAGATGAGGCTTTATAAAGTTTTAGCTTTGTCACAAGGTAAGACCAATTTTTCCAATGTTCCAAAGATGAAAACAAAAAGTTTAAATGAGAGACTGGCTAGATAGAAAAATTAAGATGAGAATTGAATGTTACATAGAGGTTATTGACTTGAATAGGTGAAGAATTAATCATCTTAAGAATGAAAGAATGGTAAGGCTATATGGAAAAAGCAAAAAAATAAAATAAACAGATCAGTGGTGTTCAGATGCTGTGACAAACATCTTCAGAAAAAAAAAACAATAGACAAGGCCAAACTTACAAAAGAAATTAAAAGATTGTTGAAATCAAAAGAGGAGGGGGCAAAATGGAAGCAATATAGAAAAATAAGAAGAGTCAAGAATTTGAATTCAACCAAGGGACAGAAATATCTGAAGTGGGTAATGGATGATTGTAAACTGATATTTTAAAATGTGTGTTTTAAAACCAATAAACATAGATAAAAATCAAAGAATTCAAACAAGAGAAATAAAAAAGAAAGAGAAAAATTGCAACCACAAGACATAGAAAACTTTGCATAGAAGTATTGATGTGGTGGATGTCATTCCATCAACAGATGTGTGCCATAGACACAATCCTACACCTTTTCAATTTTTCCTGCCCTTGGAAACTACACAAGGTTAGTGCTTGGATGGAAGACCATCACGGAATTCCAGACTAAGCTCGAGGAGAAATTTTTTAAAAAGAATATCTCAGAAGAAGGCAAGTGCAAGCCCCCTTATATATATTGTTGCCCAGAAAATTGCATAGATCAGGGGTGTCAAACTGAAGACCCGGGGGCCAGATCCAGCCCACGGGGTGCTTAGATCTGGCCCATGGGGTCACCTTGGAAAGAGCAAAGATCCGGCCCACAGTGCCTCTGCCAATTAAAACAGAGCTCGGGGGCACTCCATTTTTGCTGGCAGAGGACTGCAGGAAAACACAGGCTGAAAACACAGCTTGCAAGGGCCATGTGCGCCCCCACCCCCGAGCTCCATTTTCGCTGGCAGAGAGTAGCAGGAGACCATCCCAGCCGAAAACAGAGCTCGGGAGCCCATTTTCGCTGGCAGAGCGTTCAGGCCACCCACCACAGGCATTCCCCCAACAGTGTCAAACTGGCTCTCCCCCTCCCCTGAGGTCAAACACAACCCTGATGCTCTCCTCAGTGAAATCGAGTTTGACATCCCTGGCATAGATGAATCCATTAATAGGCAGGCTTGACTGAGAGATGTCTTTATTTTTTATTTAAATGGAACGAAATCAAACAACAGCCCATATGATGTTAAAAACATTTAAGAAGTGGAAAGAAGAACAGCGAAAAAATAGGACCTTATTACAGAAAAGGGATAAACAATTTTGAATGAGTAGAGTCTTAACATAAGGTCAACTTAGAAGACTGCAGAAAGGAAAGGTTTTGTTAAATGACAGTTCAGACAACCCAAAGAAGAGAAAGGAAGTGTGTGTTTATATAATACGATAGAATAAAGAACAGATGAAAAGGAATAGGAACAACAATAACATAATGGATGTTTCATTCTGCTGATTCCTGTTCAGTATTATATTTTACCTTTCATACCTGTTTACAAGATAATGAATAAGCGATAAGGTATTCAAACAGGCTGATTTGTATCCCTTGTTTCCCATTTTTCTTTTCCATCATTTCATACCTCCACTTCTTGGTAGGTTGTACACTGAAGGGGGGACTTTGATGGTTCTTGAAAAATAAGCTGTGTACTTCTGCAGACTTCAGGGTTTCCTCAAGCATGCCGAGATCCCCCTCTGGTTTCTCTGCAAACTAATTTTGCCTCCATTTTCCTTGGCAGTGAGTTTTCTATTAGAGAGAATGGTATCCAGCAAGAACTGCATGAAATAATACAAAACGGGATAAAGAGGAAAAAAGGAACACTAAAAAGAGAACAATTTAACCCTTTCCTCATACTTCATTTTCTCTGAAAAGCTGACCCAGTTGAACTGTTACTTGACCTATCAGTAAAAGCATTCTGCTAGTTAGGAAGAACTTTCTTTTTTAATGATGACTTTAAAACCAACTGATAACTTTATAACCTAAGCAGTTTCTTCAAAGTTTGTGTAGGGATCACTGATTTTTAAAATACAGGATATTGTACATTGAAAGTTGAAAACTCATTCCTTTTAAGATCATTTTTAAGTCGCTACTAGACACTGGAACTGAACTCTCTTTTTCAGAATC